TCCTCATTCTCCAACTCCACCTGGCCCTCCTTCCTCGTCTCGTCTCGTCCTCTCCCTCCTCCCGCCTGCCTCTCCCCCCCCCCCCCCCCAATCCACAAACTCTTGCTTCGCTACCATACCTTGCGGCTCGGAGACTTGGAAGTTGAGCCGAAAAACTTCCTACGTCCGGGCCCTTCAGGACGCTTCTCGTCCCTGCGCGAGTAGCTGATAGCAGGAGGACAGCTCTCATCGCGTCTGAGAAGATAACTCGCTCGAAACAAGCGCATCCTCCCCAAGACGTCGACGTGCAAACGAAGCTTGGACTGACATGGAATGGTGAGTTAGCCCACAAGTCGATCCCTCCTCCTGCTCCTGCTCCTGCTCCTCACCTTCTTCTTAAGTGCCAGCGCCCTCTTGGTATGGCGTGTGCAGTGCCATTCCAATTCCTTTGTGTCTGAATCAGAGAAGAAGGACGAGACAGGAAGCTCACATGGCAGACGTCTTTCGCTGCGATGCCGTGCCTCCCCAGGCAGGACGCTTCTACCGCTGTAGATGCTGTGAGACCAAGAGTGACGCGACAAGTAGCTTACCTCGCGCTTCCTCCATCTTCACTGCCCTTCCTTCAATCCTCTTCCTCTTCTCCTCTTCCGCCATTTCCAGTACGTTTCCTCCGCTCTGTACAACCTCGTTGGTATCCTGACGATCCTTCCAGTCGTATGAGTTCACTTCCTCTGCGCCTTTCTCCTCCTCGTCCTCCTGCATGCTTGTGTCTCTGTATGCAGCCGAGGTGTTGACGGCAAAACTCAAGGATGTCAAGCTTTCATTCCCATCGGGGAAGCCCGACAGGTCCGACCGAGACTGTTCATCCTTGGAAAACTCTTCCAGCGATGGGGACAACATCACCTCCACCCTCTCTCCATGGTTGATTCCCCACTTGGGAGATTCGTTATACACTTGTAAATCTGGTATCTGTTGTTCCCACTCAGCGACCCAACACCCAGCACGGCAGTCACCAACCTCGTCGTACTCGTCGGACGAACTGTGCTCTTCAACGACCACCTCGGAGCTGACAACGGGAATGTCACTTGCGAGGACAAGCTTCCTCCTCTTCACCTCGACACTGTTCGATCTTCTCCTGAAGGAGCTTGCTTCTGCACCTCATCACACACTGCAAACTGCTTCACACAACGAGGGGAGGCAAGCCACAAGCCTTCACCTGCACTCTCATCATCCGACTTGGTCTTGCTGTTCCTTCGCTTGACAGAATTCTCTGCTCGTTGAGGCGTAGAGCTCAAGGAGTTCACAGGATCTTTCTTGTCCACAAGAGCTTTCCAGCGCTGCATGTCAAACATCAACACAACGTTTTCAGCGAGCAGAGCTTCGACCTTCAAGTTGCCATGGAAGCTGATGGAAGACTCGTCATGGAACACAGACTCCTTCTCTGCGTTCTTGATGATCTCAGACTCTGAGGTTATCTTGCATGGCTGCCGCTCCAAAGCCTGCTCGCCCATGACCTCCCCACTGGAAACCCTGCCAGCATTCTTGCTGTCTGGGGACTGGACCGCGGCCTCCGTCCCAGCTTTCTCTGCCGCGGGATCATCATGATTGCGTGGAGAAACTTCCCGGATGTTTTTGACGGAATGAGAAATCGACCTTTCCTCCTCCTCGTGCAGCAGTCCCTTGCTCTGAGCTTGCTCGTCCTCCGGCGACTCGTTAACCGGGTCGTCTCGGTCACTCGAGCTGTGATGATGGTCATCAACGTCTTCATGTCCCCTGCTGCCGTCAGACAGTACCATGTCATCTCTCAGCTCCCCTCCTGATCCCTCCATAGGCATCGGCGGCTCGTTGTCGAGAGAACTGGCCGGAAGGGAATCAACAGAACAGGATGAAGTCCGAGAGACGATGTGCATTGGGTCTGCTGCTAGCATCACCATCCAATCAAGGAGGTTCTTGGGTTCACTCTCTTGCAGCACAGCTGGATGATCTTTTGCTTGCGAGATCTCTACCTGCTCTGTCCCTAACTGATGGCAGAAGGCCCCGTAGTCATCACAGATGAGCTTCAGCTCGAAGAGGCTCAAGTCATAAGACGTCCCACCATGCAGCAGCTGGCTGGAGTTAGAGTCAATCGAGTTTGACCTTGTTGAGTTCTGGGTGGGCTGCAAGAAGTCTGCTTCAGCTTTGGCAGCACTGTCGAGCACGTTTGAAAAATCGCAGTTCACTTTCAAAACCGTGGATGGTAATTCCGAGGGTGGGCAAGAAGTGGCACAGGTAGAGCTTGAGAAGGAGGATGTAAAGTGTGGAGATATGGAAGGAGGTGATGAGGGAAGGAGAGAAGATGAGGAGGAGCTGACGCGGGACCCTCCACTGCTATCTCCCATTCCCTGCCTGCTGCATACTAGCGGAGGTATGGGGAAATGGGAGGGCAAGGGGGTGGGGTGGAGTAGACCTGGAACACCTGGTGGGTGGGTGGGTGGGTGGGTGGGTCATGGAATGACCATACGATCCGGTGAATGGGCAGCGAAGTAGGGTGGGGTGATTCGAATTCTACCAGGGGTGCAGGGTAAAGTAGACTCAGACAGCGAAATGGATAGGGTAGGGGTCAAAAGGTGGCAAGGTAGGTGAGGAGTAGTGGGTGGGGTCAAGGGTCCGGGAAGGTTCCTTGAGGGGGTGGGGTATGCCAGGTTGGTGGGACCAACAAAACAATATGTACCCCTCATTCAAACCAGTAAAATTGGGGTACTCCATGAACGTGAGGGTGGGTCCCAGGGGTAGTCAACGGTACAAAGTAGTTGATCGCCTCCAGTTGCTGTAGGGGTGCGACATGAAGTCAGCTGGGTAGGGGTGGTTCATAGAGGATGATGACGGGTACTAATACAGTGGAAAAGGGGGGTACTGACATGGAAGTAGTTGAGGAAAATCTAGAGTGGGGTAGGTGTTCCTTGCAAGACCGAAGAAACCAGGAAGATGGATGACCTGATTTACTCTGAGTCATCGGGGCAGTCATCGGGGAGGCAGAAGCGGGCTGGGCCGGGCCCCGGCATGTGGGGGTGATGGGGGGATGAGGGCTTGAAGGAGGGGATGAGGGGAGTTTGGCGGGAGAGGAGGGGGGAATGGCTGGAAGGGAGGACAGAGAAGGGAGGCGGGAGAGATGGAGGAGGAGGAGGACAGAGGAGGATTAGGAGCAGGATGAGAAGCAGAGTCTCTGCATGGAAGGGTCTGGTTGATGCCCGCTCCCTTTGTCAGGGTGTTTGTGTTGAGGTGGCTGATGGGTTGCTGGGAGACTTGTTATGGAGAATATGCTGCACCTGTCCTTTGCCTCGTGGAAGGGAGGGGCCAAGGCGGCAAGTTACTTGAAAAGTGAAGATTGAAGAGGATGTGACGAGATTAGGTCTCCTGCAGCACATGCTGTGCCCTAGTGCTCCTTCACTCGCTTGTGTCTGCTTCCGCCCCCTGGCTCGCTCTGCTACGAGTTGCCATTCGTGCGGCTCATTCGCTTCAAGTCTAACATGTTCTCTTTCAGGATTTTGTGATTTTACTGCTCGAGATGCAACTTGAGCTTGAAGGTTCTGCGTTTCCTGTGTGTCTTTGGGGTTCGTCATAAGTCACGTCTTGAAGTCAAACATCTGCTAAGAGTTGAAGACGCGCCAAGAAAGAATGCCTTTGAAGAAGCCTCAGCTGCAAATCCTCGCCATCTTCTTCTTTTTGACAACCACCATCTCTACTGAAGTCTACAGAGACACAGGGCACCTCTTGCACCGTCTCGATCCCCCCGGCACCAGAGGCAAGGCGTTAGTGCATGAATCAGGCTTGAAGCTTGGCGAGGAGGGTGGTCCATGCTTGCGTCTTCGGGGTGGGAGCGCAAACTTCTGGGGCTCGCCGCAGCCGCAAGGAAGCAATCTGTTCGGCATCAACTCACCCACTGCTAACCCGCCGGTTGCCATCTCTTGAGAAATGTTCACATGTGCTGATACGACCGATAGGGCCAAAGCTTGTTCCCGACAAGTCCTCTACAACAAACCTCCCCGACCTTGAACCCATTTGGATTCAATCAGCAGCAGCAGCAGCAGCAGCAGCAGCAGCAGCAGCAGCAGCAGCAGCAGGTATTGTATATTGCGAGCTTCTCCAGAGCTGAACAAGATTTTCTACGTGCTACAGTCTCCTGTCCGAGGATTTTTCTCTGAAACGCAACAACAAGGTTCTCCATTCAAATTCGGAGAGCAACAGCAAAGTAACTCGCTGACAATCATGCTTCCTTGTAGGCTCTGACCTTCTCTCACCCTAACAGGCACCTTCAATCCCTTCGCAACCTCCGCCTCATCGTCTCAGCCACAGCAGCAGCAGCAGCAGCAGCCTCAGCAGAGTTCTAACCCCTTCAGCATCTTTGGAGGATCAAATCAGAACGCCGGAGGATCGAGCTCGATGTTTGGAGGAAGCATGCCGCAAGGCTCGTCAGCGCCAGGCGGTTTCGGTTCAGGTGGACTGACCGGGCAGTCCAGTGGACTTGGAGGATCGAGCCTCTTCGGAGGAAGCTCCACAGGACTGTTTGGAGGTCAGCAGGGACAGCAGAACCCTCCTCAGCAGTCTTCAGGTCTCTTTGGCTCCTTGAACAACCCTGTACAACAGACTCAACAGGACAAACCCTCGTTCTTCAGCAACTTGCCGGGGTCGTCAGGGTCCATCTTCGGAAATCTTGGAGGGAGCTCTCTTTTTGGCAACGAGGCCAACAACTCCCAGCCCTCCCAGCCCTCCTTGTTTGGTGGACCGATGGGAAGCGGAGGGTCTACGTTCGGAGGAGCATCCAACTCTGCACCGCAGGCTTCTTCGCTCTTTGGCAACCCGAGCCAGCCGCCTTCGCTACAACCGAGCTCGCTCTTTGACCCATCGAGGAACTCTTTCACCATGGGATCATCTAATCCTCAAAGTTCTGTCTTCTCACCCAACGCGCAAGCTCCTCCTGTGAGCGGACTGAATCAAGGCGCTACGGGCTTCCTTGGCCAACAGAGTCAGAATCAGATGGGGCAACTGCCAGCATCGCAAGTCAACGCAGAGTTGCTGCGGGCCAAAGAGAGCATTGCGCATCTGGAACGAGCCCTGGGGAGCATCAATGCTCCTAGTGCTACAGCAGGAGCTCCCAGAGACCTTCCGCTACCTCCTGGTTGGGCGAAACAATGGGACCTGAACCGCCAGGCGTTCTTCTACATCAACTGCAACAACAACCCCCCGACAGTTCAGTGGGAGCCTCCTCCTCCTCCTATCAACCCCATGCCCAGTGACAGCAACAGCAACGGGACTCCCCTTGGCCCCTTGTACAGCTTCTTGAATCGCCTGTGGGGCTCCAGCCCTCCCGTGAGCTCGGAAGTCCGGCCTGCCAACCCGTTTGCCACCTCTGTCGTCCCTGCCGTCGATGGCGTTCGACCCACGTGGAACAGCCCGGGAGACATCGCAGTCATCCGGCTGCTGGTGAGCGCGTTCGCAGGAGCGGCAGGCTCCATCTTCAGCATCGGCCAGCTGCTCATCTTCGTGTTCGAGTGCATCGCTCGCATTATGGCGAAGCGCGGAGCTCCTCTGATCGCATCGGCTGTCAAGGGCCTGCTGGAGGGCCCTGCTGCAGGGAACCAGCTCTCCTCCTATGTCCGCAACATGCGGTTCGGGTCGGGGCCGCGAGGAGGAACTCGACCTGGAGCAGAGCAGGTGGGAGGGTGTGAGGGCAGCGAGGGAAGAGAGGGAACTCACCGGTTGGTTGACTTGCACAGCTGCTGGAGCCCGGGAGGTTTCTCTTCATCTGTGGTGGGAGAAGGGACATGGACAACGCGACGACAGCCAACACCATCATCTACGACAGGTGGAGGGATGAGGGGGGAAGGGGGGCCCCCAGTGGCTGAGGCGTCTTTGCAGGATGTCAGGCAATTGGGAAGCAGGGCCTGACATGATCCGCCCGAGAGTCTCGGCTCGAGCAGCGGTACACGATGCGACATGCTGGCCTCCTCATCCTGACGGCCTTGCGCTCCTGCAGGTCCTCAATGGCGAACTGTATGTGGTGGGGGGCTGGGATGGGCGAAGCGTCCTCTCCTCGGTTGAGCGACTCGACGTCTCGCTCGGACGGTGAGCATGAGGAAGACTGGCAGCGCGTCTGACGTGGTTGATCCACAGATGGGTGCGCGTTGCCGACCTGAGGATTCCTCGTGCCAGCCCAGCTCTTGCCGTTCTGGATGGTATGACAAGCAGAGTTGAGCTGTCAAGGTCTGACCACATCGGGACATTCAGGGTTCCTCTACGTGATGGGAGGATTTGACGGACAAGATTGGCTGCGTCAGGTACCGTCATGCCCCCGTTACTCCTGCCTTGATTCCCCGTCGTTTGAACAGGTTGAGAGGTATGATGCCGCGAAAGATGAATGGGAGGAAGTGGCGAGTCTTTCAGCACCGAGGTTGATCAGAAGTTTCGATTGCCTGCTGCCTCTTCTCATGCTCCATCTCAGATCTGCGTTTGGGGCGTGCGCCCTCAATGGTTCTATCTATGCTGTCGGAGGATCGGGTGAGTTTAGCTCCCTGCTCGCTGTGTCTCCTGCTTACCAAGTCTACAGATGGACAGATGTCTCAGGTACAGGGGGCTATCTCGGGCGATTGCGATTGAGACTGACTGCTGGGCGTTGCAGAGGAGTGTAGAGAAGTACAATCCCTGGGAGGATAGATGGGTTCCCGTTGCTGGTAAGATCCCTCCTGACCCCGCACGCGCTCCCCTCGCACACTCCTTCCTTGACCTCCCCTCTCCTCAGGCATGACAACGCGAAGGGAGAACTTGGGAGTTGCCGTAGTCAACGGGCAGATGTGAGTCCTTCGGCCGTCTCCTCCCGTCTTGTCTTGCATTGCTCCTGCTCTTCCTGCTTCCTTCGCCTCACCTCCACCTGACATACTCCTGCAGGTTCGCTGCTGGTGGCTTCGATTCCATGTGGGCGGAATGGTTGAGAACTTCGGTGAGTCAGGAGGAGGGGAAGGGGATGGAGGGAGGGGGATGGGGATGTAGGAGGAGGAGGAGGGGGATGGGGAGGACAACTTGGGAGAGGAAACAGCTTGACTGGCGGTGTAGGAGAGGTACGATGCTTCAGCTTGTGCCTGGGTGTCTGCGCCAGACCTCAAGAGCCCTCGGTAGCTCCGATCCAGCGATGCAAAGTGACTGACCTGCCCTGCAGCCGCAACTGCATCCTCCTCACCTTCAATGGCGAGCTCCTGGCTATCGGCGGGAATGATGGCAAGGATCAGGTGCGTCCATGTGAGTTGGGAGCGGGAAGGATGAAGATCCTCGGTCAGGTCAAGGATGTGGAACGACTCATCTTGGATGGCTCGAGCATGGAAGGCTGTTGGAGGTCGCAGCCGGACTTGAGGTTCGTTCTTGCTGCCCGCCACCGTCAGCTGTTGACCGTTCATGTCGACAGTCTCCCGCTGGCTACTTCTTACTTTGCCGCTGCATGTTCTTGAAAATGTTTGTTTTGCGCTTGTTATCATCATTCCATGCAAGGAGCCGCAATTCCTCAAATCGCCCCCACCTCCGACTGTCCGATCCGATCCGAGGCCGCCCCGGGCCCGCCGCCGGTCACGAGCACCACTGTGACGCCCGGCCGCTCACTGACTCTGAGTCAATCGGACCGTCCGACCGTCCCCGGGGCCGATCGCGGCGCAGCGGCCCGGCCCGGCCCCTACGGTCATGACTAGCAGGGCCAACCGAGTCGGAGGCTGGCAGCCTAGAGTGCATATACCGTTCAGTCACGACTCGAGTCACGAAAGATTCCGATCACAACGACCTCCACCACTCGCATGCCATCATGATCTTCGACTTCAAGTGTGTTCCAGGCTGTGGAAGACCTTCTTCAAACCCGGCCCGACTCGCCGCCGCTGGACGCCACCGGTCACGGCCCGACGTACCGCGTACCGTACCCCGGGCCCGGGGAGTCACCGGGCCGACTGAGTTCACTCACTGTCAAGCCCCGGGCCCTCACTGAGTCAGAAGTTGAACGTAAAATTCGTTTTGGTAACCGTCGTTGTAACGGAAGGACTCGTAACGGCAGATCCGCCCCATGCAAAGCGGATGTTGAGGGGAAAGAGAATGGGAGGGGAGAGGAGAGGAGAGGAGAGGAGAGGAGAGGAGGGGAGGGGAGAGAGGAGAGTAGAGATGAAGACATTCAGAATGACGACACTCAGTGTGTGCTGAGGGGGATGGAGTTGAAAGGGAGAGGAGGCTAGTGGATGGGAAGGGAGGGGAACAGGGAAAGGGTAAAGGAAGAGAAAATCCAAGGACCGAGGACGAGAGTGTAAGGGGGCAGTGGACCTGGTGCGATGAGATCAGGCGGATGAGACTCATGGTTTCCTTGTCTGAGAAGAAGGAGATAGTGATCTCAGACGTACCGTTGAAATCTCTGAATGCCTGCTCCTTCTCCATTCTCAGGACCGCTTTCAAATGGTGCATTTTAGATGACATGACATGACTTTGAAGCAATCTCTGTATAACGTAGACAAGCAAAAGTTGAAGCCTCGTATCTATGCTGTTTCTTGGTTCTTGACCATTGCTGCAGGGAGGGTGGGAGCGAAAGGAATTTTGAATCTGGGGTTGAGAATGGGTCGAACTAGATATCTTGACAGACTTTGGCCCTCAAGTTTCTGACTCTCTTCCAACCATCAACCTGCACTCTTGATCAAATCCCAGAGCCCCTCCCTGGTTGCCGATGATGAATCGAATGATGAAAGCTACAACGACCCAGAGCATGGAAAGGGTCTATCGTTTTCTCCTGCCTAGCCTCCTGATCGTCATGTTCTGCTGTTCCGTCACTGGATTGGACGGAAGTCTGCATGCTCATCGTCTCCGAAGGCTCAACTCGCTTCCCCCTACCCCTCTTGTCAGGAGCATCGACCTGCTGTCAAGCCCTGTCCTCCCCTTGCCCAGAAATTTATGTTTGCGAGGAGGTACTGAGAAAGGGGAGGGAGCGAGTTCGTCTGAGGGGTTGCAGGTGTAGCAGCAAGCAACAAGTCCAAGGCAGAAGGCCCAGCACAGACGAGAAAACGAAGGTCTTGACTTGCTCCCCGTGAACCTTCAGGGACTGAACCTTGACGGTTAGAGCGTCCGGTGAACCTTCGGCGGCAGAGGAGGCCACCTCGTTCAGTCAGGTACTTTCTGCCTCTCCCCTCCTGTCCTCCTCTCTTCTCCCCTCCTGTCCTCCTCCTCTCTTCTCCCCTTGCTCTCCACTCGTTCCCCCCTCTCCCCTCCTCCTCACTTCCCCCTCTTCCCTCTCCCCTCTCCCCCCTTCCCCCTTCCCCATCGCTCCTCCCTCTCTTTCCCATCTCTTTCCCGCTCACCTCCCTCCCCTCCCCTCTCTCAATCTTGGCACCTCACCTTCTTTCCTCTCAGAGACTGTTGAAGCGAGCAAGAAGCGCGTCTGAGTCAGTTACTTCGTTGGTTTCGCACGGGTCTTACATGCTGTGTGGCTTGTTGTCTCTGATCGGCGGGCAGGCGATCTCTGCTCTATGAGCGCAGCACTCAAATCTCCCAGCCCCTTCGCAAGGGGTTTCAGCATCTCAATGGGCTGCCTGCTGAACTCTACGAGCTCATTTCCTCTAGAGTACCACACAAGGTACGACCTTCTCCTGTCCTCTCCTGTCCTCGCCTCTTCTCATCTCTCGTCCTCCTCCCTCCTTCCTCGCCTATACCCAACCCTACTCCCCTTGCCCACCCTTCTGCTTTCCTTTATGCACTTTCACCTCTCCTCTACCTCCTTTCCTGTTAACTTTCAACCGCAGTTTCTGCTCCCCCTTACGGTCGCTTTCTTCGCGTCCTTCTTCATTGTCCTGGGTACCTTCTCTCCCCTTGTCTCACTTTCCTCTCATCTCCTCCTCCAGCTCGGGTCGCGCAGGTCTACGGCCTCATGAAAAAGATTTCTGTGTTTGCCGAGGAGCTGATGAAAATGTCCACCCCTCAGGTCAGGCTACTGCTCCTCTCGTCTCCTCGTCGTCACCTCGCCTCCTCTCTCACTTTCAGCTCATCCTCATCCCCCTCCCTCTTCTCGCCCTCATCCCACTGCTCGTCCTCTTCCCCCTCTCTCCTCCTTCTCTGACGTCGCTGCAGTCGCTTTACAAGCTCCTCAAATATGTGCAGCGACTCGCCGTGAGCTTCCTCCGGTTCCTCTCGACATCCGTCCGGTACCTCAACTCTCTCTCCCCCTCTCTTCGCCAACTTTCCTGCAGCAACCCTGCCCTACTGCTCAAGAGGATCGACGCGATGCTCCACAAGCTTCAGGATGCTGTCTGGCGAATCATCCTCGAGGTTCTCCCCTCGATGCTGCTCTCCCTCCCACTCGACAGCCGTTTCCTCTATCCCCTCCCTCCTCTCAGTCTCCTTTTCCTCCCTTTCTCGTCCCCCGCCTCTACGTCCCTCTGCTCTTCTTCTCATCTCCTCTTCACTCTCCTGTCCTTCTCTTCCCTCCCCTCCTTCTCGTTGCTCTGCTCCACTCCTCTCTCACCACAAGTAGTTGTACGACTCAGGAAATCTCTTGATTGCGAAGTTTGTCTCCTTCCTCGTCGCATTCCGGGGTAATCTCACTTTACAGCTCCTCCTCCCTCCCGCCTCCCTCCTCCCGCCTCCTCAGTTGGTTCTTGCCCCTCGATCTCATCCTGACTCTACGTGCAGACCTCATGGTTTCCTATCCCCGACACCTCGGACTCTTTGCCTACAGCACAACCATGGCCATGATCACGGCACAGGGCCGGTGGAAGACAGTCCAGGTGAGAGGGAAGCAGCAGGACGAGAAGGAGGGAGGAGGGAGGAGGGAGGAGGGAGGAGGGAGGAGGGAGGAGGGAGGAGGTAGATGGCCTGAGAGCGGTGCAGATGATCTCCTACATGCTCGAGCAGTACTTCCCCTCCCTGCTCTCCTGGCCGGCAGCAA